TTCCTAAACCTGCCTGCGCCTGCCCGCACACTCAGAGGGGAAATCTCTCCGATGCCTTGTCCACTCCACTGGGCAGGTTTGTGTGGACATGGTGTTGCACAGCGTCCTTCACATAACACCACTGGGGCTGTCATTAGTGAGGAGGGGCCAAACCCCATGGGTATTAGTAGATTTTTTTCCATTAAAAATAAGACCACCTCTCTACCTGACAAGAGCATGTGTGTGTGGAGACACTGCCAGGAGCATGTTATTTGGGGACACCTGGTTGCACTGGACAGTCACTGTGCAGAGAGGTGGGGACTCAGGTACCAGGGGGGAAAGAATCAAATACTCCGATGTGAGCACATCTGTGTGTGTCTGAGCCCCACTTGCAAAGAGGAATAGGGAAAAGGTTCAAGGTCAGGGGCTCCGGCTTCATACAGACCTAGATCAAGCCGTCTTTTCATCTCTTGCTAGCTGTGTGGTCTTCAACAGATCACATCACTTCCCTGCGCCTCAATTTCATCTGCAAACATCCAGAGATAACCGTATTTACTTCCTGCGCTTGTGGAGAGGGACAGAAACAGTCTCCACAAGCCAGCACAGGTGGGCCCTCAGAGTCTATGGTGCTGTTGGAGGCCCCAGATTCTGACATGGGTGTGTGTGTAGGGATAGGCCCCACAGGTGCCCAACGCTGGCATACCTGCATGTAGAAAGCATCAGACATGTGAGCCTGGCCACACAGGTGTGCATGGCACCCCGGTGTAAAAGGAACATGCAGACGTGCCAGCGGGGCTCACTTGCATGCATGCAATGCACTGATCCGTGCACACGGGACACACCCACTGTGCTGGTGTGAGTGACAAATGTGCAGAGGACACAGGTGGCTGTCCCAAGCCTGGCCGGACAGGATCCCTCTGCAGTCCCTTGCTGGGGTGCCCTCTGAGCCACCCCTGGCTCTGGGGCCAGGCGGCACCACGCACAGCAGGTCAGTGCGGGCTCGGGGTCAGCTCCTCTGGGCCCGTGCTCTGGGGGAGGACTGACTGCCTGCCTCCCCTGCCCAGGTGCACATCCAGAACGCCACACTGGCAGGAGGGGTGGCCGTGGGCACCGCTGCCGAGATGATGCTCATGCCTTATGGCTCCCTCATCGTTGGCTTCATTTGTGGCATCGTCTCCACACTGGGTTTTGTGTACTTGACGGTAAGAGTCCCAGGCAAGGGGCTGGGGGCTGGGGGCTGGAGAATCCTGGCTCTCTGTGTATTTGAGGTCTCCGAAACTCTGGCCTCCCCGCACCCCTGCTTCAGCCGCTGGCCTGAGCAGCACCCATCTCCTCTCTCCAGCCATACCTGGAGTCCAACCTACGGATCCAGGACACGTGTGGCATACACAACCTGCATGGCATTCCCGGCATCATAGGGGGCATTGTGGGTGCCGTGACGGCAGCCTGTGCCAACAGTAAAGTGTATGGACAGCAAGGGTAAGTATGGCAGCGGCGCAGGGCCGGCTGAGTCCCCTCTTTCCTTCTCTGTTCTTCCTCCCTGCTAATCCTCTGGGGTCCATAATAGTGTCTCTACCCCAGCCCTTCCCCAGTCTGGACCACTGTTTCATGGGCCTCTCCCCACAACCTCCATCCTTCCACAAGAGTCTGAAACCATCTGATCTGTTCAATGCCCCCGTTTTGCAGATGGGAATGCTGAGGCCCAGGGTTTATTGAGCCTTGGTGTCTGCTCTCCTTTGGGGGGGTGGGGGCGGGCAGCAGGTGGTTACTAGCCCCCTGTCTCCATCCCAGGCTCGCCCATGCCTTTGAAGGTCTCAGTACCAACTGGTCCGCAAGCATGCAGGGCAGTTTCCAGGCTGCCGGCATCTTCGTGTCACTGGCCATGGCTCTGGTGGGCGGCATCATTGTGGGTGAGTGAGAATGGCTGGGCCAGAGAGGGTGGGGCCGCTGTGGGATTCTGTGGGTGGAGGACCCAAGAGCACGTGCCAGAGATCCTCTGCGAGCCCCCAAGAATCCTTTGACTCTGCATTTGTGGCCATGGGGTTGGAGAGATTTTCCCAGCTGGCGGAAAAGGCGGGGTAGGCAGAGAGGAAGTAGGTCCTGACCTCCCGTAACCTCGAATTTTCTTTAGGGATCATTTTGAAATTACCAATCTGGGGACAAGCTGCTGATGAGAACTGCTTTGATGATGATATCTACTGGGAGGTGAGTTCTATGGACTTGTCCCCCAGCCCCCGTCCTGGACAAGGATGGCTAGATCCTCCCTTCCCTGACCCTGCACACATCAGCTGGGTTGGAGCCCAGGTAGCCAGAAGCTGAAGATTGGGGACAGAGCCTGTATCCTCCCTCCTCCTTTATTCAAGAGGCTATGTCTCCTGAGAGTTGAAAGCTTATTCTAGAGCAGTCATTCCCAAAGTATGGTCCCCTGTGCCCTCATCAGTATCACCTGGGAACTTGTTCCACCCAGACTTCCTGAATCCATAACTCAGGGAGAGCCTGTCTGCCCCCAAAGCCTGTTCCCCCTGCCAGGAGCCAAGCTGCCTTTACTGGAGGAGGGGCCCCCTTTCATCTCCAGGCCAGGGCAGCTGTGGGTGCCTGTACAAAAATCTTGACTCGAAGAACATTGTTCTAGAAGCTGAGAGTAGTGCAATGTCTTTAAAAACACACCACAATTTGGGCTTTCTGTGACTTCAAGCAGGCCTTCCTCCCCACGGATCATTGCAGGCGTGTACCCAAATTAGATGATGGAGGATGACATAGGGTCCTTCTTGCCTCCTGAACTTCCCCATTATGACAAGGATGAGGACTTAGCTTGTGTCTGTGGCCCCTGAGATGAAGCTCTGCCCATCCCTGCCTTTTATTTGGCTCTGTGTTTTTAAAACCATACAAGAAATTTTCATGGTAATTTAAACTAATATCCACTATAAACCAGTTTCATGTATATAATTAAGTCTTTTGAAATAACTCTTTAAATTATTTAATTATAAAATGAATAGAAGCTCATTAAAGAAAATCTGGACATAAAACTTAAAAAAAAAATCCCATCATCCTAATTCAAGCACTGTTAATATCTTTGGTATATTTTCTTATTTTCTTCCAGTCTTTTTTTTTTTTAATCTGCATAGATTTTTCTTACACAGCCGAGATGTTATTATACACCCAATTTAGTATCCTGCTCCTTCTCTTTATCTATCATAAGAAGTATTCTGTGTTATTATATTCTTAATAAACTTTCTTTTTAGCAGCATAATTATTTTCATTTTATATTTAAAGTCAGAACTTAAATTATTTTAGGTACAATTAGAAACCACATGGATTTAATGCTAATAAAATAAACTAAAAAAAAAATGTCAATTCCCCTATGTAGAAGTTCACTCTTGGTTCTGTTTTGATCTTTATAATTTATTCTAAGTTCACACGTTCTCTCTGCTGTATACCCTTCAGCAGCTATCTGTTTTGAGTAATATAATTCTGTGCCAGAGGAAATAAGCCACCATTGGGCCATCCCTTGTCCATCCCCTATCCGTGCCCGGTCCCGATCCACTGCCCCCTTCCTGGTCGCTGAATGGTTTACCTGAAATATGTGACTTCGAGCTTGCCATGCTGCCTCTCACCTGGCGCACGATTTACTACTCGTCTTTCAAAAGTGGGTTCAGCACAACTGTAATTTCCCCGGGCTGAGTTATCAGCCTCTGTGTGAATTTACAACGCTTATTGTCATGGCGCCTTTCAGTTGAATGCCTTCCCGTTGCCCTAGTGGGGCAAGGTCCTTGCAGCGCCCCAGCACCCTGGACAGTGGCTAACAGGGGCACGGTCCACTATGAAGGACCGCCCTGCTTCTCGGCATGCAATCTGCACGGTGATCACAAGGTGGCGCCCGCTACACGCCATTGGCTGCTCCTGACTTGCCCAGGCTGTTCTAGTTCCACCAGGTACCCCAGCCTGGGGCAGGGCCCTCAGAGCTGCCTCCTCTCACTGCAGGTGCCCAAGGACCACGCGATCTATGTCTCCCATCCTGAGGACCCTAACCTCAAGCCATCAGAACCTTAAGCTCCCAGGGCAGGTGAGAAGCAGGGGAGCACGGGTGTGGCTTGTCAGTGGGGGATGACCAGTCCTCCCAGTGGGGAATCCGATAGCACCAGCAAAGGGGCCAAAAGAAAACAGCAAGAAATGAGGAGGTGGGCTTCCACCCCTCCCGCCCGGAGTGAAGTGGGGACGCTGGGCTTAGTGAGAAAGGCACTCGGAGTCGGATGACGTGTGTACTGGACAGACATGGGCACATGTGGAAGGTGCTTGGGACTGGAAGGAATAGATGGAAGGTGACCTGGCTTTGCTGCTTACTGGCTGAGTGACTTTGAGAAGCTCTCTCCCCTGAGCCTGAGTCTCATTTATAAAACCGAAGATGATAGGACCGGCTCTATTCAGTTGATCAACTCAGGCAAGACCCTTTGTTCCTTCCTTTTCTCTCCCCTTCCTTCTTTCTATCAACTAACATTTCCTAGACCCTCTGAGGAATGAACCGAAAAAGGCCCTTTCTCATGCCTTTTGCGTCTAGCCCTCCAGAGATCCCTACAAGACATAGGCGGTTACTTTCATCTCCTTAACGGAAGAGGGAATTAAGGCTCAGAGAGGTCACGCAGCTGGCAAGTGGAGAAACTGGGGTCTTTCCAGGCCGTTATCATTGCCCTTATTGTCATTATTTGACCTCTTGGAGGTCCGAGTTTGGAACGGAGCCGTGTCTGGGGCAAAAGGCTGAGTGATGTGGCAGGAGAGGATGTTGGGGTTTAAGGAAAGAAAAGTGAGACTGTGACCTAAGGCTCACCCCATTCAGAAAAGGAAAAGGTGCCCAAGGGGCTACAGCAGGACCTGATGGTGGCCCCTCCTCTTGGCTCTCTCCCTGCAGGCTCCACGTCCTGTTCCGGTGCTCCAAAAGGAGCCAGTGCAGACCAAACTGGGCGCGCGAGAGCAAGAGGAGCAGCACCTGGCCCGCTGGCCTGGCCCAGGGCGCCTCCGCCCCTCCCATCGCCTTTGCCCTGGGGGGGCTTGCCCGAGAATGGAGAAGGACCTGTAGACCGAAGGAGGCAGGAGGCCTGCCACCAGGGGTCTTGGGGGCCACATCCTGAGAAAAGCAGACAGGAGGGGGGCTGGAGCCTGGGGGTGGACCCGAGCCCTCCTAGGTGACAACTTGGCTGCCAGCCAACTGCTGGGCCCTTCCTCAGCCTGCACATCCCATGCTCCCTGGGCCCCCAGACCTCTCTGTGCCATATGCAGATGGCAGCCTTCGTGAATAAATGTTCCCGTTGTTCTTTGTAGCATGGGTGCGAATGCTCCAACAGGACCAGTCTGAGGGAGAAAAGGGCCCAGGAGACGTGACCTGGCCTCCTGCCATAGTCAAAACCGCTCCCTCCTCCCCAAGCTGACACCCACAGTGCCAGGGAAATCACCCCAGGTACAGAGGAAGAATTTGGGGTACTGGAGCCTGACCCCACATGGGGCCCCTGGCAGGGCTCAGCTTTTGGACTGGGGTCTTTCCCCAGAGTCCATGTTACCTCATATCAACCATCCCAGATGTTTGCCCATTGTAAAACTGCCATTCCTTCCGTGCCCCCCATGTGACCCAGCTGAGCTTCAAGGGCACTAGAGGAGGGGAGCGGGGAGGGAGGGAAGGCTCTTTGGGCCAATCCCCTTCCCCAGATCCTTCCTTCCTTCCTCCCTGCCAAGCAAGGAAGGTTGCATCAGTTTGGATCTCCCATGATTGAATGAGGCCTGCCACCACCCTGGGCTGAAAATCACAGTTCCTGCCCTCAGGGGACTTGGTCTAGCTGGGGAACCGACCTGACACCAACTATCCACCCTGAACTCTGACAGGCCCTCAGTGCCCAGGTGGCTTCTCGGAGTGGGTCACCTGAACAGGGTTTTGGAGGCTGAGTAGGAGTTTACCAGAAAGATGGCAAAGCGGCAGCATGGGCAGAGACCTAGGGATGGGAATCGACATGGTGAGGTTGGGTCTGGCTAAAAGAGAAGCAGCGGCAGAATCCAGATCCTTTGTGGAGCAAAGACTCCAGAGAAGAAGGGGTGAGGGGAAAGGGAGGAGAGCGGGCTTCTCCTGCCTTCGGTCTGCCCTCCCCGCCCCCCTCGCCGTTCCCACATGCACACACACTCAGGCCTTCATTCCCCTCGCGGCGGAGGGGGGTGGGGGGCATGGAGGAGGCCGGGAGGAGGGAGCTGAAATGCAACCTATTCATGTTCCCGCGATGTAACACCCCTCATTTTCCATGCTGGGTAAAGACAAAAACCCTTTACAACCTGTTTCTGGAACTTGTCAGCAGCTGCCAAGAGGAGCATGTTAATTAAACATCGGCAAAGATGGAAGCTGGAGGCCCTGGCTCTAATTGGACAGTTTGCTTCACTGGATTGAAAAACATTGTGACAAAGGAGGAGGTGTGCGAGCCAGGCAGGGGTGCGGCGCTGCGCGCTGGGGAGGGGACCTCGGCTTTGATTTCAGCTGATGGGGCCCCGTCTTCTCTGGCACGCCCACGGAGGGCCTGGGAGGGGCCTCTGGGCCGGGAGAGGTACAGGGTGGAGGGGGTCCTCCCAGGCCCGCACGCCTGGGCTGCTAGCAGTCCTGCTGACTCTGTTAGGCCCAATAAAGGCCCAAGCGTTGAGGGCTCCGGGGCAGGGCCTCTTCTCCTGATTATGTGACCCGAGTCCTGGGACTGGGCAGGGAGGGCATCGAGGGCAGGGATCGGGCAGTCACCTCAGGGCACTTGGAGGCCCACTGGGTGGAGAGACTGGGATCTGGGTCTCTGTTGCCTAAACTATCTCTGGGCCACGTGATCAGAAATGGGGTCTTTAAAATGTTGGCAACTGGGAGGCTTGTCTTGAAAAATCTAGCTGTAAGGGTCTTCCCCGAAGCCCTGCGAAGCCTGGAGTTGCCAGCGGGGCTGCAAGGGCACACCCTGACACTGTCCCCCATCTGTGTGTTTGATGGCTGAATCCCAAGTGCCCTCCTGTTCTTGACCCACAAATGATGACAGCTGCCATGTATTGAGCGCTATGTTCGGGGTACCACGCTGAGTGCCTTACCTGCCATTATTTAATCTCCTAGCCACCCGAGAGCTCTCATACCATGCTCATCTCAGAGGTGGGCAGACTGAGGCCCAGAGAAGATAAACAACCTGTCCAAGGTCACAGGATTATTCGGCGTGGTGCTAGGGTGAGCCCAGGTGCCTCTGATTGCAATATCCTAGCCTGGGCTCCACGTTCCCTGCTCTCTGGCTCCGCCCTCTCCAGCCCGGATAGTCAGAGAAAAGAGGGGGTTCCGAAGTAGAGGACACCCTTCTCAGGGCTTCCAGACTGAGGGGACTAAAAGATGGGGGTCTGGTATGTCCCTTGAGAGGGCCCTATGCACGCCCCCCTCCCCACGTACATGCCTGACTGGCATCTCCTGGGGTGAGGGTGGTCAGCTAACAAGGATAGAGCTTCTTCTCCTGTCCCCTTCTGCCTGGGCCCCAGATTTGCCCCCCATCCCACCCTCATCCTGAGCTGCTGCCCAGGAGGGCTCCATCTGGGGTGGGAGGCCAGGCTGGGGCTCGTGAGAGTCAGAAGCAAGTATGGGAAAAGGGAGCCATTGTGGCTGAGCCCTGGGGATTAAGAGCCACAAAGTGGATATGGAGGGCTGAGTTCCCAAGGGGGGCTGGCCTGAGCAGTCTGTGCCTGAGCTGCCTGCTGGGCCTAATCCCCTGGGAGCTGCAGCTCCAGAAGCCCAGGAAATACAGCTGCTGTGGACAGAGGCCGCCCCGGAGGGGTCGGGCAGCCTGGTCCTGGCTGCTCGGGGTGGCGCTGAGGAGGGCTGGTGGTGGGGATGTGTGCTCATGGGTGTGAGCATGCTCATGTGCCTCAGGCCTAGGCAGTGTGACTCTATGGGACACTCTAAAGACAGGTGACCCAGGGTGTTAGGGGCAGTGTCAGCCCCCCTGGCCTGTGTCTGTAGTTTAAGGCCTATTTTGAGGGGAGTGGGACCTGAGGGCAGCAACTGGGACCACTGAGAGGGCCCTGACTGAGGAAGCGAGGTGTGGTGAGGACGGAGGCAGAGCTGACGCCCCCCAAGCAGGTCCAAGTGGGTGCTGTGTGTGTGTGTGTGTGTGTGTGTGTGTGTGTGTGTACTTGTGTGCGCAACTATCAAGCAGGGTGCTTGAGAACGGCCCTTCAGAGCCGGCTGGAAGGGCTCTGTAAATTGTAATCAGATTAAGGGGGCCAATCACCTAGGGCTCTTGAAAAGGCCACACGGCTTCTAATCAGCCCTGAGGGCCCTGGCCCACAAAGCCCGAGAGAAGCACTGCGGGAGCTGCCCGCTGGGGGGCCGAGGGGTGGGGGCAGCTTTCTTGCCTCTCTGTCTCTGTAATTATGTCAATTTGCTAGCCAAATTGTTTGCTCAAGTGGACAGGGGGGCTTGTGCCCCATTCATGTGGTAATGTGGGAACCGGCAGGCCTCCTGGCTGGGAAAATAGGAGGTACCGGGACCCCTCTCCAGGGAGCAGGCAGGCCAGGGGTGTGGGGCACCTAGGCCTTGGGAATGCTCCCTGCACCAGTGTGGGTTTTTTCCCCAGGAATTCCAGAGACTTCCAGCTTGAGTTGTGCTCTGGTATGTCCTTTTGGGTCTGTGAAGATGCGGGATGAGAAAGGAGGCAAAGACCTCGAGAGAAGACAGAGGTAGATTCTGGGAGCCTTCAGGGTAAAGGTGGGCAGCTCTCTGTCCCCATTCCTGGTCCCTTATGGTCCGAGCTGAGGCTTGAACAGTTTGGGAGCATTATGGGAAGTGCCGGAGAGATGGGGTCCTGAAGTGGGGAATCACGGCACGCACAGACTTGGAGATGTGCACAGAGTTGGAGAAAGTTCATCGCAGTTTCCCTGAGCATTGATGCAGGCGCCAGCCACTGTGCCACGGTTTTGTAGCCATCCCGGGAGGTAGATACTGGGCTTCCCCATTCACAGATGAAGAAAGTGAGTTTCAAAGAAGCAAAGATACTTGCCCAAGGCCACACAATCAG